GGCCTGGTATTGATTGAGATAAGGGGAAGAGTGCGGGTCGGTACTTGCGGGTTTGGGTATTAGTTATCAAGCCAGCTGAATTTACGATTTGCAGTTTGTTGAGAAGATTCTTGAGCAATTGATTGTTTGTATATATACTAAATTGTACTAACACCGGTGAAAAAAATAGAAATTCCTTATTGGGGATTTATTCATTCTTTGTGACATCCTCTGCTGAAGAGGAATTTATGAGAAGTGAATGAATATGAGATAATATATGGATTGTTTGCTAAATTCAAAAATTGGTCAAGAGTAATAATTCTACAACGGAATAATACCGTGATGGTGAAAATATATATCCCAATTCCTCTCTTTTTTTTTTCATCATTCTTATTAAGATTTTGGTTGAAATTATTTGGCCTCAATAAAATGAGGAGGGAGTGATAAGGTAGCAATGATTTACCTTTCATATAAATGTATCACGTGCTAAGCATGTGATACAGTTTAAACAGAAAATAAACCGTAGTGAATCGAAGGGTACTAAAATCATGTGACCATGAATCTTTGAGGCCAAACTTTAAAAAACAAGTGCAAAATTTGGGGGTACAAAAGTTTAAAAAACAAGTGCAGAATTTATAAGATATATAAAAGTGCAAATAACCTTTCTTATTCCTCAGGGGGGATGTTGTCAAACTTTATTGCGCCTCCACCAATGCGGTTTCAATCCTCATAATAAATTAAAGAATCCTTTTCCTCCCAAATCAAGTCATTCCCCAAATCAAGTCATTCTCAAACCGCCCAAAAAAAAAAGAAAAAGAAAAAGAAAAAAAAACTCTACATCTAGACTCTAGAGAGTTAGGTTTGAAGGTTAAGTATTGAAACAGCGTTGGCCTCCAACAATGCGGTTGAAAGGGATAGAGAGCGCCATGGCGGGAATTTGGGCAGCAATATCCAACAGTCAAATCCCAACCCCTTTAAAACAGCAGCCCATGATCCCGTTTCTTCTTCAAACTCACCTAGCTTGCTCAATTAGTGAAATAAAAAAGGAGGAAGAAAAGAAAGGGAAAAAGTAAGCTTAACTAATTTCTGTTTTGTTGTTCACTAATGGGTTCGTGTATTTGTTCTTAGAGGCATTGATTCAAATAATTGGTGAGCAGAGTTGTGTGGAGACAGAGGCATTTAATAGGGATTGAATACTCGCATATTAAGCTTCTCATAGGTGAGAATGAACAGAAAATTCTCCAGAAAGATGCACGAAATAGTAATAAAAAATGAAAAAAGAAATTTTCCTTAGATTTAGCTCTTCAAATTGTTTCCTCTGATGTCGAAATCATGGCTAGAATCTAATAGAATGCATTTCCAAACGCACACAAATTTCTCTCCAGGATGTAAGAACTAGTAGAAAACAGTACTCATGAATAGTTTGCGGCAGTATCAACAATAAATTTGACACGTTTTAGGGTAGGCTATCTTACATTTGATTGATAAACATGATGTTGAATACTTCTCTTTTTGTTACGTAGAGGTTTCTTGTCTGCTGCGAGGTGTGGGATATCAAACCTAATTATAATATAGTTCTTTCGATATAGCTTACGGAGATCCTTTTATGATCCTGCATGTGCTTGTAGAAAGTTTTGATTGGTGTTTTTGAATGTTTTGAGGTTTTAACTTAACCAGGTATAGCGTTAGTTTTACGGTGGATTTTGTGTGCCTTTATATAATATTGATGAAACATTATAAGCATCCTGTTTAGGATTTTACGGGAATATGAGTTTTGGAGCTGTAGTGTGAAAACACATTTGCCATTACGTACGGATTTTAACAGCTTAGACATTCTTGCTAAGGTAAATTACTTTACAGACCAGGTGTCTGCTTGCAATATTTGAAAGTAAATTCATGAAGAGCTATATCTAGCTTTCGTTTAATTTTTTTTTCCTTCTCCACTAGTCTGGTTGTTTTTGCATATGCCACGCCGCAGAACATGCAGATGACATGTAAAATAATGACATTGGCGTGCATTACCAAACGAGAGGTTTGATAAGGAAACTATGAAGAAGTTTTGCGATGATCAATCACGTTAGTAGATAGAGATTAAAAAGTCTTTTGAACCATAAATCATGAGAGTATACACAGACTAAAATTTTGTTTTACTTTTAACTTTTGAAGTTTTTGTTGATGTATATATGAATTTCAACTTCTTAATAGATGTGTCACTAGTAGAAGATGGTCTTGCAGAAGGTGGTAAAATTTATGCTAGGAATAACTGCAATCCTAGAGTTTTTACTCATACATCATGTTTACATTGTAAAACTAAATATTTTAGTTCATTCCATGTTCACAGAAGACATCTGGAGTTCAGACGGTTGAGGTGCTTTCAGTTTTGAAGTTAATATCCGCCATGGCTGACCTGGAAAAGCCTTTGCTTGACCCAGAAAGTTTCAATCAAGATGCAATTGATTTGGTAAGTAAAATTAAATTTAGTTGTGTAAAATTAGAAGAAAATATAAACTGCAGGACTTGTTGGATGTGTGTTACAGGAATGTGTGCCTTTGGAAGAAGTCTTCGATCAATTGAGAACATCTCGAGGTGGACTTTCATCTGCGGATGCTGAAGCTCGCTTGGTACTTTGTGGTCCAAACAAAATAGAGGAGAGCCGAGTAATTCTCTAATTGTAAAATAATTAATTTTAGGTCTCTCATGTCTCCTTTCACTTCAAAAAGAGAACAAGTATACATGATATGCTACATCCCTTGTGCTAGTGCTAACACTGGAAGCATAGGACTTAATGGCCTCTTTCACTTACTTATATTCTCGTTGTTTCTATAGCAGGAGAACAAATTTCTGAAGTTTCTTAGTTTTATGTGGAATCCTTTGTCATGGGTAATGGAAGCTGCAGCAGTGATGGCAATTGTCCTTGCTAATGGTGGAGTAAGTGTTGTCCTAACCTTGTAACTTTTTTTCATCTGGCTTTAATTATTGTTATTGTTGTGATATACTATATCCATGAGTTATATCTAACTTAATTCTGTCTAATCTGATGCTTTTAGGACCAAGGTCCTGATTGGCAAGACTTTGTGGGAATCATTTGCCTGTTGATAATTAATTCAACAATTAGCTTTATCGAGGAAAATAATGCTGGTAATGCTGCAGCTGCACTTATGGCTCGCCTAGCTCCCAAAACAAAGGTCAGCATCTAACTATCTGGTTTATGGATATATTATTGTAAAGGAATGGACTTTCATTTCAACCTCATCTTTTTCCAAACCACACTGCAACATAGAAAAAAGTATTTTTGTTCCTTTTTTTAAATAAATAGATGTGGCCTTTAACGTTACCACATGCCTAGGTGTTGGTGCATATGCAAATCTTAATTGAAAATCTTAAATTTCCATTCTCAAATTCAGCACTTCTGCTAAACAAAACTTTATCCTCCCAGAGAGAAATTCTTCGAGGGAATAAAAAGTGTTCTTGTAGGGGATTTCATTCATCTGAATCACCTCTAAGTTCCAATACAAGCACATTAATAAATTCAAATCATTTAAAATGTGAACAAATTATATTTGAGTTATCCTCGTCTCCTATCCATGTTTATCCATGATTACCAACTAAGTCACTGTATTCATGGGCAAATCGCTTATTTTTTTATCTATCATGCAGTCAAGTTATCTCCATCTGGAAATCATTTGTTTCTCTCTGCAATCATGGGGATGAAATAATGTATAAGTAGTTCTCTGACTTCCAGTCTAAGTTGCATGGAAATGGGTATGGGTATGGGTATGGGTATGGGTACGACACACGGAAAATTGTAAGATGTGGGGTACAGGGACACGGACACACACACCCACACATATGTTCAAATTAATAATTACATGAGATCATGTGTTTACTAGAAATAAAATTTATATCACATTTTTTAGTTTCATTTATTATGTTGGTTATTATAAACTGGAAATTGATCGTTTTTTTACTAGACACTAAAACTTATAAGTCATAATTTTGAACTTGGGTATTGGCTAACACAAAACAGATCCATGTCTAACAAGTTTCAAGAAATAGATATGAAATTATAGGATATATGTCTAAGAAGTGTATGACATGACTAGTGTTTTAAAATAAAATATATATCTTATAGTTGAGTACATGTTTGAATAAATGTATGCATATGCGTAAGGAGTGTCCATGAAGTTTCGGTACTGGTACAACTTCATGATAGAAGTATCCGGGTAACATAGCTTCCAGTTCTTTTTTTGTTATGTGTAATTTCTGGTTCATGTTGTGAAGCTCATCCTTACGCTCTTGAAGAGATTTTTTTTTTAATCTTCCAGTTTAGTAGAGCGGTTGACTATACTTGTATTTATGCAGGTTCTCAGAGATGGGCGATGGCAAGAGAAAGATGCTGCTATTCTTGTACCAGGAGATATAATCAGCATTAAGCTTGGTGATATTATCCCAGCTGATGCTCGTCTTCTTGAGGGAGATCCTCTAAGAATTGACCAGGCAAAATTTTTCTCTACACTTAATTGATTTTTCTTTTGTTCTTTCTGATTTAAGCGCAACGCTCTAGATTGCAGATGATTTATCTAAGGGCTGATTCTATTTCTTGATATTCTGCCTGCATGGGAACAGATACCATCCATGGCAGTTGCTATTGAAGCTTTAAGCGAGCGTTTGAGCTACTGTTCAACTGCTAACAGGAATTAATTAATCCTTTTTTCACATGCAGTCAGCTCTCACAGGTGAATCTCTTCCTCTAACAAAGAAGACAGGTGACATTGTGTTCTCTGGTTCAATTTGTAAGCAAGGGGAGATTGAAGCTGTTGTAATGGCAACTGGTGTTAACTCTTTCCTTGGAAAGGCAGTACATTTGGTAGATTCCACTCAAGTTGTTGGACATTTTCAGAAGGTAGATGCAAGTTAATAACCTTTTCAGTGCACACATAAACAGATAGAAGTAGCTTATTGTGTTCCTAAAACCAGCCTTAATATGCAAGAAAAAACTCCGATTCCTTTAGAGTGGATATAGGTCCATCACTATCCTTCTCTCAATTAACTATGTTGATGTCTTCTTGTTGAGAAAATGATGAGAAGTGTAATTGCACTGCAGATTTTGTTGCTAAAGATTATACATACATAAGAATTATTGGAGCTTATCATGTCCTTAAGACTTACTAATTTATTTTATAACAAACTTGTTGAATTCTTTCATAACTATTGAAACAATTTTGGTGCTACCTGTGACTTCTCCACCTAATTTCTTTAGGTTCTGACATCAATTGGCAACTTTTGTATATGCTCGCTAGCAGTTGGGATGGTTATTGAAATTTTAGTCATGTACCCCATTCAGCAGCGTTCATATAGGAAAGGAATCAATAACCTTCTTGTTCTTTTAATTGGAGGAATACCCATTGCCATGCCCACTGTGCTGTCCGTTACCCTTGCAATTGGCTCTCACCGACTTTCTCAACAGGTATACCCATGTAAACTAGGTTAGAATTACCAGTGTTAACATTCTTACACCTATATTTATCTGCAGGGTGCAATAACGAAAAGGATGACCGCAATTGAAGAAATGGCTGGAATGGATGTTCTCTGCAGTGATAAAACAGGAACACTTACCTTGAATAGGCTCACTGTGGATAAAAATCTTATTGAGGTATAGGCTAGATGGAGCACATAATCATCAATTCATCATTTCACCTAGATCTGTATGTATTTAATTTAAAGCATTTTCCTTTGGAAGTTTCATCCATTTTGATTTCTTTATTTAACATAATGGTCCTTGCTTGCCATTACTTTTAGGGAAATGTTTAGTTACTTGCTCATTGTTTCCTTTCCAAGAAATGTCTTTTTTACGAGATATAGCTATGAGAGTTATTTCAAATTTTTGGGTTTTTATACATGAATCCTTTGTCTCCATTGGATCCTGCTTACTACTTGACATGTGAAGTAGTATTAACTACCCTATCCTTTTTTGGCGCATTAATGCATGTTCCTGAAAAACACTTTTTATGGATGCACCCATTTCTTGTGATGTCTTTTGGCATGTGGATTCTCATAGATTTCAAAGATCCCATCAGCTGTAAGATATTAAGACAAATATCCTTTCTTTTTATGTCATTCCCTAATCTGTGGTACACTGCTGAATGCATCTCTCTCATGTTGTAGGTTTTCAATAAAGATGTGGGTAGAGACATGATTGTACTGCTTGCAGCTAGAGCTTCGAGGCTCGAGAACCAAGATGCAATTGACACTGCCATTATTAACATGCTTGCGGATCCAAAGGAGGTAACTCACAAACTTAATCTGAAGTCTAGTTGTGTGCTTCAGGAATTTTCTTGTGGTGATATACTAATGCAAACAGAAAACAAGATGACACATGTTTTGGCTGCAGGCACGTGCAGAAATTACTGAAGTGCATTTCCTTCCTTTTAATCCTGTAAATAAACGGACAGCAATTACATATATTGATTCTGATGGGAATTGGCACCGTGCTACCAAAGGAGCTCCCGAACAAGTAATACCTATTATCTTAAATTAAATGTTGCATCTGCAATCCTTTTCAGTTTTTAGCTGGAATCTTTACGAAAAATTTGTTTCGATATCTCTTTTTAAACAGTGACACAAAAGATTAATGTTTTTTGCCATTTGCTCCAGATTCTAAAGTTATGCCATGACATCGATGAAATTTCCGGAAAAGTGCGTGCATCCATAAACAAATTTGCTGAAAGGGGCTTAAGATCACTTGGGGTTGCTTATCAGGTATGTGACAAGGCTGAAAATTTGAAGATATGACTTGTGGGAATAGCATTTCCATCGACAACTTCATGCTTAATTTGATAATCAGGTTGTTAGAGGTGCATTACTGTGTTAATCATTGATGTCTTGCATTTTTGTAATCTAGTTATAATTTTGTTTTCGTAGTTTCACATTATTGTTTTACAAGATGACTATTTCTTTGAAACTCCTTATATGATGATGTTTGCATGTCTGATAAAAAATTAAATTTTCAGCCAATTCCGGAGAAAGAAAAAGCAAGCCCAGGTGGTCCCTGGACTTTTTGTGGGTTGTTACCATTGTTTGACCCACCCAGACATGACAGTGCTGAGACCATTCGCAGAGCACTAAACCTTGGTGTCTGTGTCAAAATGATTACAGGTATGCACAATACTTGGTTGAACTGTCAGAAGCACACTTTATATTCGTTGATTGTAGCTTATTGGTGAGTCAAGTATTATCTTCATCTACAAGCTTACCCTAGAATGACAGTTGTGATCTGATAGTTCTCATGCTATCTCCAATAATGTTGTGGGGATTGGTGGACATGGTGGAAGTCTTAGAAAGCTGTGAGCTCACTAGTAAGATAATAAGTTGAAGAATTCTTTGTTATTTCTTTCAACCGTAAGGAATGTAATATGGAACCTGGCAGAGTCTAGGAGTCCCAATGTATTTTATCTTTGTAAAATATCGATCTTGTTTATTGTCAAGATATCACGGGTTCATGCCTTACCTCGAAAAAAAGACCTTCGCTTTTAGGGCTCCTCATACTGTCAGTAATCAGATTCTTTTCCAGCTAGGAAATAAGTGGCATATACATGTCAAAAAACAAATTCCTCGATGAACCATACAAAAAACTCCTTACGTTCAAGAACTTAAAATCAGTGATATTCCAACCCTGGATTCCAAGCCAGATTTCGAGGCCTATATGAAGCTGATTATCTGATTCCTCCATCCAAATAAATCCGGTTTCAGTTTGCTACTTTTGGTCGAACTGCTTCAAACTTTAAATTTTGTTTTTTTTTTTATGAATTGGTTTCAGATTTATTTCCTTGTAATGAGTTTCTTGGCCCTCAGTTATAGTTTTCTTTGCTATTCTTGAGAGAAATAATTGCTGCTTGTATAGGTGATGAGCTGGCAATTGCTAAGGAGATTGGTCGGCGTCTTGGCATGGGTACCAACATGTACCCTTCTTCATCATTGCTAGGCTGTGACAAAGATGAAAATGATGCTCTCCCTGTAGACGAGCTTATTGAAAAGGCTGATGGATTTGCAGGTGTCTACCCTGGTATGAGTACATTTTTTTTCTACCAATAGTTGTGATATGTAGTGAGCATGAAATCACATTTACTTGCTTCTATTTGACTCTTCCAGAGCACAAGTATGAGATTGTAAAAATTCTTCAGGAGAAGCATCATATTTGTGGAATGACCGGGGATGGTGTAAATGATGCACCTGCTTTAAAGAAAGCTGATATTGGAATAGCAGTTTCAGATGCTACTGATGCCGCAAGAGGCGCTGCAGATTTAGTTCTTACAGAGCCTGGCTTAAGTGTCATCATCAGTGCTGTCTTGACAAGTCGAGCCATTTTTCAAAGAATGAAGAACTATACAGTTGAGTAGTATATGATATTATTAATGATTATGATAAATGCAGAAAATTTGTTATTGAAATGATAATTTAACATGTGTGCAGATTTATGCAGTATCCATAACCATAAGAATTGTGGTAAGTCTAGTTAAATCAGTTTTTGTATGCCTTCTAAAGGTTGTATTCCAAGCTAAGACTTTGTAATTCTCTCTTCAATGCAGCTTGGTTTTTTGCTCCTTGCAACAATTTGGGAATATGATTTCCCTCCTTTCATGGTTCTTATAATAGCCATTCTAAATGATGGTAATAGTTCGATTCCTTTAAGCATAATTTCCAAAGTTAATTGCAATTCAGTAGTAGATAAAAGGACCAATATTTTGATTTCTCTATTTTCTCTTATCAGGAACCATTATGACTATATGCAAGGACCGTGTCAGGCCATCACCAAAACCTGATAGTTGGAAGCTCAATGAGATATTTGTGACAGGAATTGTCTTAGGGACTTACCTTGCATTAGTTACAGTCTTATTTTATTGGGTTGTTAGAAAAACTGATTTCTTCGAGGTAAGTCATGATCTTCTAATTAAATAAAATGAACAGATGCCTCATGTAGTGAATCTTGGTATAAATATTTTTCCTGAATAAAAAAACATCTCTCATAATTTTTCATGCCTCTTCCATCATTTTTTTGGTGACAGACTCATTTTAATGTGAGATCTCTCAGCGGCAGCAGTGAAGAGATGTCCTCAGCTGTTTATCTACAAGTTAGCATCATCAGCCAGGCTCTAATATTTGTCACACGTAGTCAGAGTTGGTCATTTGTGGAGAGGCCTGGTTCTCTCCTAATTTGTGCTTTCATGGCAGCTCAACTGGTAAGATTTGAAATAGATAGAGAAAATTATTATCCTAATTCTGAAGTTCATAATAAAAAGATGTAATTCCTTTGATTGCTATTTGATCGATTGCTATAAGTAATATCCATAGAAAAAATGTAGGTCAACAGATATTGTTCCGCTAGTGAGGTCTAGAAAACACACATCAACCATTACATTTTATGATTTTGCCTGAATGTTATTTGGTATTTGAAATTTTAATTCTATAATCCTAAAAATCAAAGAGACTCCTTGGTTAAGAAAGGGTCTAGAAACTTTTCAATTAAAAATTATTCAAGAAGGGGAAAGAAAATAGCATCTTAGGTTGCTAAGCTGCTTGACTTAATTATTGAGCCTGATAGACATAAATGCAGGTTGCCACGCTTATTGCAGTTTATGCACATATAAACTTTGCTTCAATTCGCGGTATCGGCTGGGGTTGGGCTGGTGTCATATGGCTCTACACTGTGATATTCTATTTTCCACTCGACTTGATAAAATTTGCTGTCCAATATGGCCTAAGTGGAGAAGCATGGAATCTTGTTTTTGATAGAAAGGTCTGTGTAACTGAACTTTCTTTCTTTCTTACTCATTTCTTCTTCACAGCAATTCATTTCAACAGTACATAAAGATCACATGGTGATGTGATATTTCTATCCTTAAAAAAGCAAGTCGCTTAATTCCCTACTTAAAGAACTATATTGTAAAGCCAAGTTTTGCTTATTTCCTTTATATCCTTTGATGATTTTTATGTTTATGTAGTCAAGATGCTGTTGTTTACATTTTTCATCTTCGTAACAGACAGCTTTTACTTCAAAGAAGGATTATGGGAAAGACGAAAGGGAGGCCAAATGGGTACTCTCTCAGCAAAGTCTAAAAGGGCTGACACCACTAGATTTCATCCCCCCCAAGAGGCAGAGACATTCAATTCAGATTGCTGAACAGGCCATGAGACGTGCTGAAATAGCAAGGTACGAAAATTCACCAATGTTTGAATTCACCGTGCTACTGATTTTTTATGTTTGAAACTGAAGTAATTGCTTTTCTAGAACTGGATGCTTTTTGAGGAGTTATCTGTCATCATTGGAGTGTTACTGTTCTTTGATGTAAACTATCGTCATCTACCGAGCATTTTCTTTAACATCCTCGTTTGTCATACTTAACTAATCTCTTGGAGACAATCGACTCCTATTTAACAACATGGATGTTGAATAATTGAAGATTGACGGGAAGTTTACATCTTATATTTAAATTATCTTTCCATTTTGGTTAGTAACCTTTAAATTATGTCTTACCTCTACGAATATGTGAAGCTGACAAGCTGTAATATATAAGATCATGTCTGTGAATTTCTACTATGCTTTGCCTTCCTCTTCACACTTTCGTTCTGTCTAAGACAGATATCTTTGGGGCTTTTTCACTCTAGTTTTAGATTAAGCTGTTAACTATTTCTCATATTGATGCAGTAACTTCTTTATGTCACTTATTATCCATAAGCAATCTAGATAACAAGTCTCGTCGCCATATTACTTGTACCAAATTTGTTCATGCTTTTCCTGTCCATGTCTATTCAGAGTAAAACTGCATCCTTATGCTCAGTTCCTCTGCTCATAACTTCAATTCTAAAATTTACACATGCTCTCTTCAATCAACTACACTTACAGAATTTCTTGATTCCAATCTTCAACCTTGTCTATTAATGATTACTTCCCATAGATGTATTACACTAACGACTACTTTTTCCGATTGATTGGTTATTGCTGGTTAAATAACATTGACATGAAGATACAATGCTTTTGCCCCCTCCCTTTCAGGCTGGGAGAGATATATACGCTCAGAGGACATATCGATTCTGTAATATCGCTGAAGAATTTTCATGGAAATATGATTCAATCAGCTCATTCAGTATGATACAAACGAATTTGAGGATACTTTGTTACTCAAGGAGGATTTTATTTGATCCCAGAAAAAGGAGATTTTTATTCGGTTACTACTGAAGATTTTCAGATTTGGATACTAGCAGATGCTGCAGTTCCTAAAAAACACTGGATAAATGGTCAGAGAAGTTTTGAAAGTCTATTAGGTGGTATGATTTACATTTTCATGGAGGTTGATGTGATGAAAAGTTGTGATCAATGACAGTGCAGTATTAATGTGGCACCATCCTAAGATTGATTAGTTTGTTGTATGTTTTTTTGTTGTCCCCCTTTTATAGTCTTCAGAAATATATTAATGCCTAAGGTGTAACTAAAGAGTCCTCGCAAGTAAGTGTATGAACTAGTGTTTGTCCAAACCTATGTACGTGTATATGTGTGTGTGTGTGTGTATAATGAGTTGAATATTGAGATGTTTATTTAGATTTTCATAATGGTGGAATGTGTGGATGTATCTAAAACTACTAAGCACCAACGAATATAACATCTGAAGTAATATATCTTGTTTAGGTTCTATTACTCCAACTTGGAGTTTAACCTGATTTCCAGTGTGCTTGTGACGGTCTCATATGATACTTAATAAGCTGTGATTCTGTAACGGTGCATACACCTTAACTCTTTAGCATAGGCAAATAGTTTGCATATGTGAACTCTTTCTTAGTCCAAGTAAAATATATGCTCCATTTAAAAGTTCGAGTTCAGAAAAATCTTTCTATGACCAATATTACCCTTAGGTTTTTTAAATATTACATTATTATCCTAATCTATTCTAATTATCTTATCTTCTTTGGATTAGTAACCAAATGATTTATGCTATTTATAATGAGACTTAACATGTTATTTGATAAAACAGATACGTTTTATATAATTCAAATCATTTACTTATTTAAGTTCGTAGAGAAATCTAAAAAATATATGCTAGCCAACACCTAAAAATTATTAAACTTTGTAAAAAATACTCTCAAAGTTTTTTAAATTACAAAATTATCCCTACAAATTCAAAATTTTATTAAAGCATCTTGAAAAGTATAAATTTTACTTATTTTAATTCAGTGAGAAATCTGAAAAATATATGCTAACTAGAAACCGAAAGTTTTTTAACTTTAAAGAAAATATCTTGTAAGTTTTAAAAAATTATAAAAACAACCCTAAAATTTTAAAATTTATAAAAAATACCTTGAAAATGTCAAACTTATAAACATACTAAAAACCTACAAATAACACAAACAACCCCCAAAATTTTATGGACTTTACAATCCACACTCTGAACATTTTATAAATTATAAAATAAACCCTAAAAATTATAAAACATATAAAAATCCTGATAATTTCTGACCTAATTGTATATTAAAACTATAGAAATTATAAATATCCCCTACTTAATTAATAATTTATAGAAAACACACTTAAAATTTCAAAAATTACAAACAAACATTTAAAATTTAATATTTATAAAAAACACCCTGAAAATTTCAAATTCATAGTAAATTGAAAGCATAGGAAGTATTAATAGTCTATAAACAATTTAAAATCTGTAGAAAATGCCTATAAGTTTAAAAAAGTATAAAAAGTCCTTAAAATTCATAATTTACAAACAAACTCCATGGTAATTTCTAATCTATAGACACTAAAATGAATATGCAAAATTACTAACAATCCCTAAGAAATTAAAATTTTACAAAAAATGTCATACACATTTTAAAAGTATAGGTTTAGGAAAAACTTTTCATGGTAAATATTACCCATAACTTTTTTTAAAAATAACATAACAAATTGAAAATCTATTAAATTTAAAATTTATAAAAAAAATACCCTTAAAGTTTAGTAAATTGCAAATTACCCTCCAAAGTTTAAAAAAATTTAATGATTTTTTTGTAATTCATTGATTTTAACGTAATGTTTAATAGTTTTGTGTATTTATAAATTACAAATTTTAGGATGTTTTTTTACACTTTTTAAAACTTTTAAGGGTGATTATTTTGTAGTTTTCTAAATTTTTATTGTGTTCTCAGTGTAATGCACATATACATCAATTAATGATGATATTGAAGAATAAGTCGTTCTTAAAATTATTAGATCATAGTTATCACTATTCCTATGCAGTATAGTTTATATATGAAATTTTTTTTAGACAATCTATGTAGTGGTTAAATTTTTTTTACTTTAATGTACTATTTTTTACAAATTATATTTAATGTGAACCCACCATATAATTTTGACTGTGATCATCATAATTTTAATACGTTTGATTGATTGACTATATACGTATATAGATCATAGATTACTTTACTTTCTCACATGAGCTAACACTTGGTGCTTAATAATTTAAATTATTACTTTTAAATTCAATATAAAGAGAAGCTCTAATAACATTTATTTATTTACCTATAGTATAATACAATTTCAATTACTATTTTTTTGCTAGAGATTTATTCCATGGTTACACGTATTAAATTAGTGACTAAAATAATAATTATTTTATGAAGATATATATCTTGCTTTCTATAGTTATCTGCATTGTCCATGTATATTTTATAAATTAGTTCTTAATTTGACATATTAAATTACTTTTTTTTTTGTAGAAATTTGTTCTTTGACTTTTAGACTGTGTAATCACTATATCATCATTCTAGCATAGAAATGATCTCACTCTAAATGGCTTCAAGCCAATATTTGAGTTGCGCTGAAGTATATATTATTGTTACTATGTGTATATATTTTTTAAGAAAATTATGTCAATACTTTTTAAATAGAAGAGAATATTCTAACCTCTGATATTATAAAAATTAAATGTAGCCAATTGAATGATTAACAAAAGAGAACTTATATCAGAAAAGTATGAATAATAAGATAAAGAGGAAAGATAATAACATTGCCAATAGTACTACAAATAGCAAACTATAATGTAAAGTTAACCTATTTTGTGAAGCCTAACTACTGGCTATACATCGAGATTTTCATATATATACTTTATAATTTATTAAAAATGGTCATATAATCTTATATGATAAAATTGATTTAAAATTAAATAGTAATATTATTATAATATTATTATAATATTATTATAATATTATCATTATTAGGAAACATTCTTCATGAATCGATATGCTCTTTACGATATATAAGCTATGCACTCTAAATTCTTATGTTTTTTATAGAGCCAAAAAGTTTAAACACGAACATCTAACATGTTGCTCTCATAACAGCAAAATCCACTTAGAAAATATGGATATTCTAGATGAGTTATGTATCTTATATACAACACAATTGTCCTAGGCAAGTGAGTTATAATAACATTTTTTATTCATATCATTTTGGGGTAAGATTTGATAGGGCCCTTACATCAAAGAAAAAAGAAATTTTTATATTTAGAGCACATGATGAAATATATCATAATCTCCCTATTCTAATTTCGTAAGAAAATAATTCTTCATACTTTTAGTTTTACTTCTATGATATAGAGAATGAGCTATAAAATTGAATGAGAATATTAGATAATATAAATATAAGTGAAACATCAACTAAACATTAACATGAATATGAGTCAAACCACAACTAAAAATTTAATGGACATATTGCAAGTAAATTCATATGTAAAATTCTTTTGTGAATTGAATGATCATCCATCTTTGGAAGACTTCAAGATACTAATAAATAGAGATGTTGTACTAAATTAATGTGTTTATAACTCACAAATAGTAGATCACGTAGCCACAGTCTGGGTTGAAGGAAACAATGATAATTTTATTTGAGAGATAGATTATTGAGTTGATGATCAATCCCACAAAAAACTTTGTTTTTATTTATTATTTTTACTCTATTTTTATCAACTTAAATAATCATGATATTCAACCACGTGCATTGCACATGCATCTCAACTCATGATATTTAACCACGTGCATTGCACGTGCATCTCAACTAGTATAATAAAAAATCCTAACATTCTGATGATGTCATCTTTCAAGATTCCAAAAATCTTGAGATAAAAATGCATGGAAATCAACAAGCCTTATCAGTCTTATCACTGTTCATCTCAAACATATTCGGCACAACAAGAAAAATTGACCCGCGCATTGCTGCAGCATTTGTGTGATGAAATCGAAAAATAATGTTTAAGTACTTTGCTTAGAAAGTTCTTTCTTAGTTTGTGGATAAAAATGTTTTTAGGATTTGCAATATACGTAAATTAGTGTGAACGAACAAAAAAAATGGTTTAAGCATTTGCTTTAAAAAAATGAGCTTGTCAACAAAAATATTTTTTGGTTTTGTATCATAGATAAATTAGTGCAAAAAAAATTTAAAAAATAACGATTTAGGCATCACGATAATTCTAATGTCTTTTGTAGCTGTATTATAAATAAAGCGAGAAAAATAATTTTTTAAGCATATTAGTGTGGAGAAAGCAAAAAAAAAAGCTTATTTTTATTTAGAAAAAATATTAGCTAAAGTATTTGTACAATACTAATGACTTGGTAGTCATTATGTACACAAATTAGTATGGAGAAAAAAAAAACAAATGCTCAATCGATTTAGAAAGAAATATTTTCAAAAATTAGTCCTCACAACTTTAATAATTTTATATTAGTCCCTCACATCTCGATAATTGTTTATTAGTCTCTCAAATTCTAAGAGGTCTTACAATTGGTCCCTTAATGATGAAAATAACTCTTAGTTATGATTTCTCCTTTAAAACTCATCTTGCTCAAAAAAAATTATTTACAGTTTGGGAATCTAAAGTTTATATCTTTTAACTTTAATACGAAATGTTTTTGGGAATTAGATACCCTAAAGTTCACACCTTTTTAATTTTGATATATCGAGATTTTTTCTTAACACTTTTGTTAAGACAAAGTTTATATCTTGTGGATAAACGTTAGGGTAGCAAATTGTCAAAAAAGGTTTGGGCTATCAAAGTTAAAAAAGACAATTTTTGGGGTATTATAGTGCCAAATAAACTTGTGGGTATCAAAGTTTTTCAAAAAAGCTTAATTTTTGGGGTATCAAAGTAAAAAAGGAGTAATTTTGGGGTATCATAGCGTCAAATAAACTTATGGATATGAAAGTTTCAAATCAGTGTAAACTTTAGAGTGTCAAATTATAAACAACTCTTTAAAAATATTAGATGATGGTATTTTGGATATTGAGAGGTAAAATTGCAATAAGATTAATATTTGATGGAGTAATGAGTAATTATTTAGATTGAGATACTAACATGAAATTATTGAAATTTTGAAGGACCAATATCTAAACAACGCTATGTAAAATACCCTCTAAAAATGCTAAATTGCAAATAAACCTTTAAAAAATATTTTCATCATTGAGGTACCAAATCACAACGACCTTAGAATTTGAGGGACTGATGCTAATATGCAATTATTGAGAATTTGAAGTACTAATCAACAGATCTAACGGGCTAATATGCAATTAT